AACAACGGAGGGCGGAGGAGCGACGCTCAGAACAACGAGCGGAGCGCCGGGTGGCTAAAGCACAGCAAGTTGGTACGGTAGGGGGCACAGGTGGTGCATCACCCAGTCATCTCGGTCATCTCGGTCAGTCGACCCGTGGCACCTGCTGGGTCTGCCCCGTGACCTCCTGCCAGCGGGCGTTCGACACTTCACGTGGCCTCAAGGTGCACTTGGCCTGGTACAAGCGTCGTGGTGACGTCACCGCCACTTAGTGGCGAATGGCGGTTGTTGTTGTATAGGTGTGTGTGTGTAGGTGTGTAAGTGTGTAGAGGTGTGTGTGTAGGTGTGTGTAAGTGTATAGAGGTGTGTGTAGGTGTGTAAGTGTACGGAGGTGTTCGGGTGAGTAACCCTGGCAGCGCAACGCTGCTGGCGTCTCGTGCTGCCGCCTGTACCGCGCCTTATCCACCAGAGGGCATCGCCTACCCACGGGTTGTGTGGCGTCAGGGTGAGAAGTGGAGGGTGGGGGGAGGGGTCCGGGGATGGGGGGGGCTGCTGCTGCAGCGCTCAGCAAGGGGTCGTGCTTGGTGCACCACTGCCAATTCTTTATTGCATCGATCTATCTCATTCTTTGTCTCTGCTTCTATTTCCTTGCGCCCGAGTATGCACCGCTACTTGTGGTACCCTCTCTGTATTCATTGGAGAGCCACGTCCAAACCACTAAATCTTCTTGTTTCTTGTGTGAAGCCCTCTCCAATATTTTATTTGATTTCTGCAAAAGGGCTGCTGCCATAACTGTGGGATGGTTGTCACGATTGACTTAAAATGTCACGGTTCGATCTCCCAGCCTGGCCTTGAAAACATTGACCAGGATTCTTACAATTCCCTGTTTTTGTCCACCCACAGTCCATCAGTGGGTCGCGTGCAATGGGCTAAATGGCGAGTACTCCCACCTCTTTCAAGACATATGGTCAGTGTGGAAAAGTTGGCCAAAACATACCCACCGGATCGGCACTCTAGACCTCCCTCTAGTGGGGGTTCTTTCACCAGCAGTTGCATGAGCAAGTAATTGCAGGGCTGCACCATTAACCTCACGTGCACAACAATAATCTGGTTTACGTGCATTTCAGAACTCCTTGATCCAGACCCCAGCATCCCAGTGGTGCAGGATCAGTGCTCTGCATCGGTGTTACCATTACGCCGTTGCTCCTCTGCAACCCCGTGCCACCCGTTGCCGCGTGTAACGTCGCTGCGCCCTGTGCACCGCACGTGTCCCCAGCCCCTGCCGCTGCTCCGCCGGGACACCGGCTTGATGCTGACGATGTCTCAGGCGCAGGCCGCCTGCCTCCTGGCCAACGCCTTCTTCTGCACGTTCCTGTTGTATATGTTGGGTATGAAAATTTGTTATGTTGTATGCGTGCGTGTTTGAAATTATTATGTTGTATATGTGGGTTATGAATATTCAGTGGAAATAATAATAATTAAATGAAATTTGGCCAAATGTGTAATTATCCGGAAATATGTTAATTTATGTAATTACGCACATTTTAATTATGCCAATTCGAGAGGTAATCGTATTAATTATGCGAGTGGGTGTAATTATGATAATGCAAGTCGTTATGATAACCAGACCCCGGTTCACCCCGTTATCGCTTTAACATTTACTGAGTATGTATTAGTGTGTTTATTAAGGTCACCAAGTTCAAATCTCAACGCAGAAGCAGATCTTATGCATAGATTTCAGGAAAGAATCACACAACCACTTCTGTATTGATCAATTTATTACTAATTCAACCTTAACTATGATATAGTATGCGAACTCTCAATCCCGGAACGTCAATACGGCATCAATACAGTATCATCAACGATTGTCTGATTTCACTTTGACAACGGCACATGGATCCCGCATAACGCGATGGTTGTTAGTGAGAGAGAGAGTCGTTAAAACATGCAAATACTATGTTAAGAAAACCTTAACGTTAATGAATGATTATACTCAATATTGTTCACGCAGTACCGCACTCCTTATTGATCATACGCAACCCTTATCACGTTGTTAACACCTTGGGTCACGGAACAGATGAATATTCTGTAGAGGATGCGAGTACGTGCGGCGATTATGACTGAAAGATACTTGAAAGATTATACGGCGATAAAAAAAAACACAATCAAAAACAGTTATTATTCTTAAAGGCACCAATCTCAACAGATACATCGGCAGGTTATCTGACAACAGAACGGCTCGGAGTAAGGGCCTGCGACGGTGCTCCTTTTCCGAAGCTCGTTATCTTATACCAAGTTTACTAATTGGGGACCAGATCACCTGATAAGGGTCCGGTGGGCCACCACTCCCCACGTGAGCGTGGCTCGGCGGAAGGAGGTGCCAAGAATCAGTTCGTATTGATGGATCTGTTGGGAATTTATGCGATTAAGAGTACAGCCCACTAAATATTAAAGATAAAAATTAAGAATACTCTTATAAACGACGGAGGGCCATCACTCGGTCTCGTTGTGATGCTTTCCAGCCACGGATGGCTTATGGGTTCGAGTGTTTTTGAGTGGTAAGAGTTGTCTTGAATAGTCAGTGTTCGGAGTCGATTCTTTAGGTCAAACAGACGCCTGGTGGTCGTGTGGTGAGGGGGCGGTGCGCGTCATACGTATCAGTCGATCCCGTGGCGAATTGGTTCGGATGGCTGTTGATACGCTGTCGCAGTTCGGAACCCGGTCGGTAGGTGGCGCCCACAACTCGCTCGTAGCGTGCAGCGCTGGATCGTCGCCAAACCGCAACGATCACCACTCCGGCGGCAGCAGAGATCTCCGGCGGCAGCAGAGATTGACGAGCTGAAGATGAGTCGAGCCGACCCGCTGGTCGCAGCTCGCTCCTGAGTCGACCCTCCCGGTCGAGCTCGCTCCTGGGTCGACCCGCTGGTCGCCCTCGCTCCTGAGTCGACTCTCTGGTCGCACTCCTGAGTGGACCCACTGGTCGCACTCCTCCTGAGCCGACTCCCCCGGTCGCGCTCCTGAGTGGACCCTCTCGTCACACTCGTTCCTGAGTCGACCCTCCCGGTCGAGCTTCTGAGTGGACCCTCCCGTCGCACTGGTTTCCAATGCTCAGGATCCTTTACTTTATGCCGAAAATTCCCCCTGGATCCCGCCCACAAGGCGGGGCTTCTTCCGATTTTTGCTGTGTCAGGATCTGTCCGTAGGCAGGTGTGTCCATGTGTCTGTCCGTATGTCCGTGTGTCCTTGTGTGCATCACTGACGGTATATTCGTTGTCACACTCCCTCCATAAAACCCACGAGCAAACAATCAGATGTTACAAATTGCCTCGAAGTCGTCTCTCTGTCTGGGTGCAATATTATCTCTTGTCTGGCCTTCTTCATGACCCAAAACACAGACGTTACAAATCGTCTCATAGGCGTCTTTGTTCGTGTTGCACAACCTGGAGGGAGGGGCAACACTCTCTCCGACCCGGCGCACAAAGAAATGGTTAAAAAGTTTTAAGTTAACATTTGTCCCTTACTATTTCACAGTTATGATTCTGTATGTAACCTAAGGTCTGTCGTTTCCCATCGTGGTTCCCGACCCAAGTGTAGGTGTTTCCCCGAGCGTACACACACTCCTATCCCGCGCTGCGGGGATACAAAGACGGCCGGGATCTCCCTTTCTCTCCGACCCTGGGTTTAACATCGTTGTTTTTTTTTATTATGTATTATATTCGACCTGGTTGTGATTCATCCCGTTATCCTGGCTTTTCCATAAGTTTTACTTTGTCTTTTCATGCATATACTTATTACTATTAATTTATTTCCGATATCTTAGGTTAAGGGGTAAGTTTCTTGATCCTAGGAATTCGTATTCCTTGGTGCCTGGATGGTTATATAAGCGGAATATAGTTTACGGTGAATAGCGTTAACATTGATGTTATGTGCGATATTATGTATTGTGATGTCTTTAACTTAACTTGTTTGTCAGGGCTTTACTGACACGAAGTTGCATTCATAGCCCGCAGTCTTTGCCCCACCCTATCTCTGCTCGCCGTTGTTGTTGCCGTCCAGCTGCCGTTAATTCAAGGCCTCATTAATTTCCGTCACTCCTGAGTAGGTGAGGGCGGTTGAACCTTGGAGTCAGTTCTGGTTTTTGTCTGCCTGCTTCTTCTTGTGTCCCCTGACCCCGGGAGTTATTATTCTACTTTATGGCCTGTCGAAGCCCCACTCGCTGTTGCTGGGCTGGTGTTGTTCCCGGCTTTTTGCTTACGTTTGCAGTTCGCCGTGCTCTTGATTTCCTTCCCTCTTCAACCTTATATTGACTATTCGCTCCTGTCTGGGTGCGATTCAATTTTGACTTAGGAAGGTTCTGATTGTCATATGCTTCGGGTCGAATTGTATAGAAAGTATTGAAGTATGGAAATAACATTTCATATTGACTTAATAATGGTGATGGTTCAGTAGGCGTAACTTGTGGCCTGGTTTAATTGGAGTGGGTGTGAATATCAATAACTTTAGCCTACCCTGTTGTTAAATTCCGACTTTAACGTTACTTTAATAGCAATACAGAATAATTGAGCTTTTTGTCTTAACTATGTCTGGCTGACACTCCCACTGTCTCTGCCCTTGCACGGGTGACATGTGCCCGTTCATCAGGCCTTATCTTTCCTTGAAGCAAGGTTGCAAATTCTGCCATCCTAGCCCTCCTCCGGTTCATTACTTAACAACACCTGGTGTTTTGCAGTTTGCTGCGCTTGGTGTGTTTCACTCATTAAAAAAACAAGTAAAAAGATAATATATAAAAATCATCAAATATTATTAATCTCAATTATGGAAGAAGGGTTAGGATACAACATTCCCCCGGAGCAACGCCACCGGAACCCGGAGCGAGGACTCTGCCTGCCCCGACATCAACGTCAACAGGTGCAGCAGCAGCAGCCCATCACTGTGCATTACACACCGAACACCGTGTGTCATGCAGTACACACACACAGATGCAATGCTCTCTCTACGTGTAATAATCCTTCTGAGACGGCTTCGGAATCGGTCCTCTTTATTTTCACTTCCACAATACACTTTACTCACACACTCTCTGTTGCTGGCAGACAACAGAGAGCGGGCAGACTTCACACCAGTTCCCACCGCGCACGTGGCACCCAGAGCCCCCGTACGCGCGTGGCTCTGTTCGTTCCCCAGTCTGCTCCCGATCGTTCTCTCTCACTCTCTCTTAATCCTTCCATCACGTGGTCCCCCCAGCCAATCCTCCATGGACAGCCTTGACCATTCTCGATGGTTCCCTGTCAATCCCGGGACCACGCCTCTCATCCGGCTCCCCATTAGCTGGGGCCCCGAATGGCTAGGCCAATCACTCCTGATGACATGCCGTGATCACGCCGGGGTCATGCTCCCTATCTCAACCCTTATTGGCTACAAAGCAGGACCGGCAAGCCAATCCCCACGTGAACCCTCTATGGCTGTTATTACATATGTAGAGTATTTCTTGCTGTATATGTAGCGTCGGAAATGCAAAGCACACACCACCTGTAGTTGCGGGCACGAGTCGACAGGGGGTGCCACCCTGAGTTAGAGAGAGAACCGGGACCGTTGAGAGGCCGAGTTCCCCCGCCCGACCCCAGGTGAGGGGTTGGGGGGTTATTCCAGAGCCACCTCTACTGTGTGGTGGACCGGCTACCACACAGCAGCACGAGTCGGAGGAGTGAACGGATGGTTCTCCCTATGCGGGCCAGACTCCCTCGCTTCCTCTTCTCCTCCTGCATCATCACCTGATCCTCTTTCCTTGTCATCTCTTTCTCCACCATCTTCTCCACCAATGTCTCCTCCACCTGCACCACCATCTCATCCTCCTGCTCCTTCGTCCATAACTCCTCTGTCTCCCCCCTCATCTCCTCTTCTTCCTGCACCACCAGCTCTTGCACCAGGGTCTCCTCCTCCTGCACCACCAGCTCCTCCACCAAGGTCTCCTCCTCCTGCACCACCAGCTCCTCCACCAGGGTCTCCTCCTCCTGCACCACCAGCTCCTCCACCAGGGTCTCCTCCTTCTGCACCACCAGCTCCTCCACCAGGGTCTCCTCCTCCTGCACCACCAGCTCCTCCAACAGGGTCTCCTCCTCCTGCACCACCAGCTCCTCCACCAGGATCTCCTCCTCCTGCACCACCAGCTCCTCCACCAGGGTCTCCTCCTCCTGCACCAACAGCTCCTCCACCGAAGTCTCCTCTTCCTCCACAACAACCGTCAGCCATTTAGGCCTGGGCAAGCGCGGAGGATGGGGGCAGCGCCACCTCCGCTCTGTAAAGAGATGCGCACGACACCGTTCTAACTTCCTGCTACAGCAGAGATTGCACTCCCCCCCCCACCATCAGTTAACCCTGGGGGGGCATGGGGGTGCTGTGATCCCCCATAGCCCCACCCCTCGGAGAGGATTCTTATAAAAGGCGGGGAGCCAGAGGGCTCGAGGCCAATGTGTGAGAAGCTTACCATTGAAGACTGAAGACCGGCAGAATAGGCCCTGGAACTCCCCTGGCTCGCTGTCCTTGTCAGGGCCGAGCAGGGTAAGTGGCGCGGCCCCAAGAGCTCCAGGACCGCTGCTCTTGTAAGAGCACGGCCTGGTTAGCTGGGTGCCGGGATCCGTGCTTGACCAGGGCCGGATCAGATAGCCTCCCCTAGCACTCATAGCGGAGGACTGGGAATAGGAGAAGTCAGGGGATAGTACTAGGGGTGTTTCCCATTGAGTACGGGTGAAGGCGCCGTTACCCCTCCAAGTAATGTTACCGCCTTTTGGTTAAATAAAAGAGTGTGCCTCAACTACGTCGTCTGTCTCCCTGATAACTCACTACACTTGTATAAGTGTAGTGTATTGTGTCGTGTATAGTGGAGTGTGTAGGTTAAACGTTGAGTTTCATAAGGGCACCACGGGGTGACCAGCCCCTCCACACCCAGCCCCACCCCTCCCACCCAGCCCCACCCTCTCCACCCAGCCCCACCCTCCCCACCCAGCCCCTTCCCTCCTCCCCCAGCCCCTCCCCACCCTCCCCCAGCCCCTCCCCACCCTCCCCTCTCCACCCAGCCCCACCCCTCCCACCCCCACCCTCCCCTCCCCATGCACGACAGACAAATAATCCCTGGTGGGCAGTGTGGAATCTGTTGTTCCTACCGGTATAAAAGTGGGAAATATCTGAACCGGTCCTGGGCCTCCCCCTGGTCGACTCAACCTCAAATGAGTACCTGATGCAGTGTGTACACATCACCACGAGGGAGACAAATGCGTCTGGGCGTGGTGTTGGCCACCCACTCCCCTGTGTACTGTGCCAGTCCTCATTAGGCGCTCACTAACACCACTTGCCTCAAAAATCTGTTAAAGCTATGAGGGGGATCTTTGTCTTTGTACAGTGGCATTGGCTACATATAAACTGATACTTTGAACGGAGTTTATAATACAGCACGGCCTATGTGTAACGCATCATATACCGTGTACACAACACCATGAAAGTGTGTGCCGTATAATACAGAGTAAAGGAGCATAGCCTGTGCACGTACTGCAGCGTTACTTTGAACTGAAACGTGGCATGGCCGTTATGTGTAGAACAGCATTTCTTGTGTATATGTAGTGGGTTCCCACGGAGACTGGAGACGTAGCTTAGAGGCAACACGGTTTATTTAAATCTTATAACATAAGCCCCTTTTACTCCCACTACTTGGGGAGGTATGGCCTCCGGGCTAACGTGCCCTATCACTGGGGCTACGGGCTCTGAGTCCTCCGACTAAGGGTGGCCTAGGGGAGGCTATGCTGACCCGACCCAGCCAAGGTGCAGGTCTCGACCACTGGTCCGTGCTCGGCCCCGCCGCTTAAAAGGACGTCGTGTCCCAGGGTCCCGGGGTCCCAGGGTCCCAGCCTAGCCGGTCTTCAGTCTTCAGAGCACTGCCTCAGGCCGTCCTGGGGTCCGTCTTTTATACCCACCTCGGGGACTCTCCACTCCCGGAAGAGGAGATGAGGGGGGAGACAGAGGAGGTATGGACGAAGGAGCAGGAGGATGAGATGGTGGTGCAGGTGGAGGAGACATTGGTGGAGAAGATGGTGGAGAAAGAGATGACAAGGAAAGAGGATCAGGTGATGATGATGCAGGAGGAGAAGAGGAAGCGAGGGAGTCTGGCCCACATAGGGAGAACCATCCGTTCACTCCTCCGACGCGTGCTGCTGTGTGGTGGCCGGTCCACCACACAGTAGAGGTGGTGGTGGTTACGGATCGTTGTGAACCACAACCACTATCACCATACCCACCACACACACCCTGCACCCATTCACCCCCCTGTGATACCCACCACCCACCGCACACCACACACACCCTGCACCCACCCACCCCATGATCCCACCCCCACCACATTCCACACAAAGGGTTAGGGGTTTAGAGGGTTAGGGATTTATAAAGTTAAGGGTTTAGAGGTTTCAGGTTATTTCAGGGATAAGGGGTTTAGAGGTTTAGGGATTTCGAGGGTTATAGGGTTTAGGGGTTGAGGGGATTCGAGAGTTAGGGGTTTAGAGGGTTGGGGTTTAGAGGGTTAGGTGTTTAGAGGATTAGGCTATTTGGGGTACGGGGTTTTAGAGGGTTAGGGTTTTCAGGGTAAAGGGGTTTAAGGGTAAAGGAGTTTAGATGGTAAAGGGGTTTAGAGGGTTAGGGGTTTATAGGGTTTTGGGTTTACAGTGAGGGAAAAAAGTATTTGATCCCCTGATGATTTTGTATGTTTGCCCACTGACAAAGAAATGATCAGTCTATAATTTTAATGGTAGGTTTATTTGAACAGTGAAAGACAGAATAACAACAAAATCCAGAAAAACGCACGTCATAAATGTTATAACTTCATTTGCATTTTAATAATGGAAATAAGTATTTGACCCCTCTGCAAAACATGACTTAGTGCTTGGTGGCAAAATCCTTGTTGGCAATCAGAGGTCAGACGTTTCTTGTAGTTGGCCACCAGGTTTGCACACATCTCAGGAGGGATTTTGTCCCACTCCTATTTGCAGATATTCTCCAAGTCATTAAGGTTTCAAGGCTGACGTTTGGCAACTCAAATCTTCTGCTCCCTCCACAGATTTTCTATGGGATTAATGTTTGGAGACTGGATAGGCCAGTCCAGGACCTTAATGTGCTTCTTCTTGAGCCACTCCTTTGTTGCCTTGGCCGTGTGTTTTGGGTCACTGTCATGCTGGAATACCCATCCACGACCCATTTTCAATGCCCTGGCTGAGGGAAGGAGGTTCTCACCCAATATTTGACGGGACCTGGCCCCGTCCATCGTCCCTTTGATGCGGTGAAGTTGTCCTGTCCCCTTAGCAGAAAAACACCCCCAAAGAATAATGTTTCCACCTCCATGTTTGACGGTGGGGATGGTGTTCTTGGGGTCATAGGCAGCATTCCTCCTCCTCCAAACATGGCGAGGAGTTGAGTTGATGCCAAAGAACTCCATTTTCGTCTCATCTGACCACAGCACCTTCACCCAGTTGTCCTCTGAATCATTCAGATGTTCATTGGCAAACTTCAGACGGGCATGTATATATGCTTTCTTGAGCAGGGGGACCTTGCGGGCGCTGCAGGATTTCAGTCCTTCACGGCATAGTGTGTTACCAACTGTTTTCTTGATGACTATGGTCCTAGCTGCCTTGAGATCATTGACAAGATCCTCCTGTGTAATTCTGGGCTGATTTCCTCACCGTTCTCCACGAGGTGAGATCTTGCATGGAGCCCCAGGCCAAGGGAGATTGACAGTTATTTTGTGTTTCTTCCATTTGCGAATAATCGCACCAACTGTTGTCACCTTCTCACCAAGCTGCTTGGCGATGGTCTTGTAGCCCATTCCAGCCTTGTGTAGGTCTACAATCTTGTCCCTGACATCCTTGGAGAGCTCTTTGGTCTTGGCCTTGGTGGAGAGTTTGGAATCTGATTGATTGATTGCTTCTGTGAACAGGTGTCTTTTATACAGGTAACAAACTGAGATTAGGAGCACTCCCTTTAAGAGTGTGCTCCTAATCTCAGCTCGTTACCTGTATAAAAGACACCTGGGAGCCAGAAATCTTTCTGATTGAGAGGGGGTCAAATACTTATTTCCCTCATTAAATGCAAATCAAGCTATAACATTTTTGACATGCGTTTTTCTGGATTTTGTTGTTGTTATTCTGTCTCTCACTGTTCAAATAAACCTATTAAAATTATAGACTGATCATTTCTTTGTCAGTGGGCAAACGTACAAAATCAGCAGGGGATCAAATACTTTTTTTTTCCTCACTGTAAGGGTTTAGGTTAAGGGTTCAGTGGGTTAGAGGTTTGGGGGTTTATGGGTTAGGATTTTAGAGGGTGATGGGTTTAGACCGTTATGGTTTTAAGGGTAAAGGGGTTTTGAGGGTTGGGTTTTAGAGGGTTACAGTTTAGAAGGATATGGGTTTAAAGGATTCTCGGTTTAGAGAATTAGGTGTTTAGATATTTTATGGGGTTTATTGTTAAAGGGGTAGTGGTTTAGAGGGTTAGGAGTTTATAAGGTTTAGGGGTGTAGAGGTATCGGGGTTTCAAGGGTTAGTGATTTACAGTGTTAGGGGTTTAGTGGTTTGAGAGTTGAGGGTTTAACACCTAGACTTTCACAACTAATATTGTCCATAATAAAGTTTTTTTTTGGGTTAGTCTCCAACACTAAATGGCACTTTTTGTTGATGTGACAAATTTTACTAATTGACTGTTTCGGGTGGTGGTTGGTTTAACGACATGTTTATATTTACATAATCTAACAAAAAAAAACCTTTATGGGTTTAGAGGGTTCCGGGTGTAGTGGATTATGTGTTTAGAGGGTTAGCATTTTAGGGGCATAGGTGTTTTAAGGGTTAGGCTTCTAGAGGGTTCGTTCTTTAGAGGGTTGGGGTTTAAATGTGTTGGGATTAGGTTACAGATTTAGGTTTTTAGGGTTTTGAGGGTTAGGATTTTAGAGGTTGAGGATTTAGGAGGTTATGAGTTCAGAGGGTTAGGGGTCTAGAGGGTTAGTTCTTTAGAGGGTAGTGGTTTAGATTGGTTGGTATTTAGAATGTTAGGGATTTAGGGTTTTAGAAGGTTAGGGTTTCAAGGATTAGAGGGTTAGGGATTCAGAGGGTTTAGAGGGTTTGGTTTTTAATGGCTTAGACGGTTAGGGTTAAAAGAATAAGGGGTTTAGAGAGTGAGGGTTTTGGTGGGTTAGGGTTTTAAGGGTAAAGGGGTTGAGGGTTAGGGGTATAGGAATTTAGAGGGTTAGGGGTTGAGATGGTTAGTGTTTTGGTGGTTTAGAGTTTAAGCTTTTAGAGGGCGAGGGGTTTAAAGATTAGGGTTGTAAGGGTAAATGGGTTGAGAGGGTTAGCGGTTTAGATGGTTATGGATTTAGATAGTTAGGGGTTTAGAGGGTTTTAATTGTTCGAGGTTTAGTGGTTAAGGTCTCTGTGCGAGTCCAACATGTTTGCATGAGTCTATGGTAAGATAAAAAGAGTTCAGTTTAATTTGTATATTTCGAAACAATTTGTTTACCTTTCCTGTGATGTTTTTGTATTGTATTTTTGTTATTTTCTGACCTACCCGATTGGACGTCTGTGAAAACAGATCGTTATAGCTCATCTGATTCATCCAGTATAAATAAATATTCAAATTCTATTGACCTCTGCGAGAATCTATGGATTTCTGTGTGAGTTTTTGGGCCTTTGAGTGTATGGATCTCTGTGTGAGGCTATGGATCTCTGTGCATGTTTATCGGTCTCTGTGAGTATGGGGTCGCTGTGTGAGTCTGAGTGTCTGTAGGAATGTATGGGTCTCTGTTGGGGTCTATGGGTTTCTGGGTATGGTTGTTTGTGCGAGTCTTACATGCACAAATTTAACTTAAAATGGCCATTGAGGGTTGCGGAATCCAAGTTGAATATTAAGTTCCTCGCAGTACAAGCCAGCTCTCTAGTCGTGTCATCAAACAGCCCCTTTAATTCTTTATAATAATAAAATAGACTTAGTCCAGGAAATCCACACTGAGTCACAGTTGGGTCCTGAATTGTTTTTTTACATTTTCGACGAATGAATGATGAGTTCTTACACAAGTGGGGGAAACCGGAGCACCTGGAGAAAACCCACACATACGAGGGGCAGCACTTTAAACCGTACAGGCAAAGATGGCGATTATCCCACTTTCTGTACTGCCTTCTCCTGGCCAGCCAGCCAGGAGAAGGCACCTCGATGCCCACGGGAAGGGGGTTTCACAACATTCACTGTGTGATCCACTCACCCTTGCTGCCTTCCACTGCTGGATTACAGGCTTGCAACACCATCGCCTGGCGAATAATAGTAATAATAGTAATAATTAAAAGTTTTATAGCGCGCACAAGAACGACTCGGAGGCATGAGGAACCACAGCCGTGCAGGAAGGAAGCCACGTGGTGAGCCAGTACCAACAATTGTCCAAGCTCTGCGGTCCTCTATGGAGGCATTATGCGCTAATTAATGACGAGTGTTTATACCAGTGGGGGAAACCGGAGTACCCGGAGAAAACCCATGCGTGCGAGGGTGAAACACTCTATCCCTGTACAGGTGAAGATGGCGATTAGTCTACTTGCTCTACTGCCTTCTCCTGGCGAGTCAGGTTATGGCACCTCGACACCCACGGGAAGGTGATTTGCCAACATCATTGTGCGGTGATTCACCAACCCTCGCTACCTTCCACAGTGCTGGATTAGAGACGTGCGCTACCAACACGAGGCGAATGATAACAATAATAATAACTTTCTACTTCTAACTTGATAACAATAGGCGAAAAATAACAACAGGCAAATGATAACGACAGGTGAATGAGAACAGTCATTATTATTTCCACTTAGAACTTGATAACAATAATTATTTCTACTTTTAACGAAATAACAATTATTTCTACTTATAACGTGATTACAACAATAATAACTATTTTTACTTTCAACTTAATAACAGGCGAATGATAACAGGCAAATGATAAAAACAGGCACCACATTTACGCTTCTATATAAGGAACGAAACAGGTGAATGTCTCCACAAATCTGGCTGTTGCCTGATGAAGCTAGTTGTAATTACTGGCGAAACGTCGTACTCAGATTGTAAATGTTGTGGCTTGACTCTCCAACACACCGTGTGCTGTACTAGTTACAAATTGGCATGTTCTGCGTACGTGACAACCCTTACTAGTTGGCTGTGTCGGGTGGTGGTGGGTTTTAACGACACATTTATATATTTACGCGATCTAACCCAAAAAAGAAACCTCTATTATGGATGATATTGGTCGCGAAAGTCTACGTGTTCAACAAACCCGAAGGAATCAGAGGAAAATCGACGTGACCACGGGAGAAGATGCAAATTCCAAATATACAGACATCAGGGTTGGGGTCAAACCTACGAATTCCAATATACCAGTTTAACACGTCGTCTTTCGCGAGGGAGTTTGCATCTCGCCACTGTGGCGCCTCACTATCTGACTCACCCAACCACTAAACTACGAAAGCCACCCACACACTCACTCATCCACTCACCGTGCCACCCACTCAACCGCTAACTCACTTGCTCATGCACACACACAGCCACTCAAGAACATACCTGTGCACCCACCTACACACCCACTCATTAACTCAACGACCCACCTACCAACCCACTCACTCACTCACTCTAGACTCCACTCACCCACCCACTCACCTATTCACTCCCCCACTCACACACCCACCCATCCACCCACCCACTCTCTAACTCACACACTCACCCACCAACCCAACCACCCACTCAATCAATCACCCATCAACCACTCACCCACCCAATAAACGAAAACTGAACTATTTCTCATTGTACCAGCTAAGGCCCACAGAGCTATATAGATCTTTTTCAAAAGCGACCTTGTTACAAATTACAGGTAAACAAAGTGACTTACCACTTACACATGCATTGCAGCCAAATCCTCTGAATGCAAGTTTATTCTCAATGCAGAGGGAAAACTCAGTGCACCTGGAAAAAAATCCACACGACCACGAGGAGAACAAGCACAATCAAATATACTTGCGACAGGGTTGGGATCGAATCGACAACCTCCTGTATACACTAGGTGAGGAAGTTACCATCTCACCCCCGTGGCACCCCATTCTCTGACTCACTCACTCAAACACCCACCCATTCACCTATTCACGCACACCACTTACTCAAATACCCACCCTCTCACTCAATAACCCATCCACTCACTCATGAACCCACTGAAGCACTCACCCATACAAAAACCCACTCACCCACTCACTCACCGACTCACTCACCCATGAAATCGCACACCCATCTTCTCAACCACTCAGCCAGCCACCCACTCAATCTCGTACCCACTAACCCTCTCACTTCCTCACCAACCTACCAACCCACCAGCGACGAGGCAGAGCCTCACCTGTCATACTCCAATGACAATAGTTGTTATGAAAAGTAAAAAAAAGAGAATAATAAAATAAAAATTAAGATTTTTCCACTGATCTGTGTTATAAATGTCATTTCTGTACGATTCCAATAATTTTTATAGTCAAAATCGCCAAATTTGCGGAGCTCCGCTGCAAATACAGGAAGAGACGAGAGTTGAGGCAGCGACGAGCTCAGCCTCCCCTGATTACGCAACCCCTCAGTAACTGGATGGAGCGCGGGCAATACGCGCGTGCCTGTTACTATCTCAGTATGTATTTAGGTTCTAGATTTGAAGGTTTCGTGACTGCAAGGATTCATACTCTTAGTTCTTTCGGTAAAGTCACGTGGGTAAAATTAATAAAATAAAACAATCAGACGCCATCCAGACATCCACCCTGCGTCCTTCCCTGTGGAAGAGGTATGTGGATGACACTTTCGTCATTTGGCCACATGGCCTCCCAGCATTGAACCACTTCTTGGACCACATCAATTCCAGACATCCATCGATCAGATTCACCATGGAAGTGGAGAAAGATGGCAAACTACCTCCTTCTTCTTCCTAGCGTTGACCATTCTTAGATATTCTGTTTGAGAGGAGACCTGACGAATCCTTGGGACATTCTGTTTACAGGAAAGCCACCCACACAGATTCCTACTTGAAACCGGATTCTCACCACCACCCATCTCAAAAGAATTCTCTCATCAAAACGCTATACCACAGAGCTCATGGCATTTCTGACCAACACCACCTGGCCAGTGAATTGAGACATGTACATCGGGCCCTCAGGATGAACGGATACTCTGACCGCACCATCCGCCAAGCTGTTTCTCCCACCATACAGAAACAGCCACATGAAACTCCGATCAAAACTGTCACGTTACCATACATAGCAGGCATGACCAAAAAGATCTCCAAAATTCTAAAAAACATAAGATCCAAGTCCGATTCAGTACAGTACATAAAATCCGTGATCTAATTCCATCTGTGAAGGATGTCATCCCTGACTTGCAATACCCTGGAGTCTATAAACTGAGTTGCAGCTGTGGTGACTGTTACATTGGGGAAACGAAACGTCATGTCTCTGATCGTGTCCGCGAGCACAAGTCAGATTTGAAACACGGCAAAATTGAGTCGTCCGCCGTTGCCGATCATTGCTACAACTCGGTGGGCTCTCATGACATTGTTTTCTCCGAGACTAAGGTGCTCTGCAAGCCTTCTGGCTACCATCAAAGGTTTGTACACGAAGCCATTCAGATATACAAACACAGACATAATTTCAACCGTGATGATGGGTACAAACTTAGTAATCATTGGAAAGATGTTATCAACCATGCAAAAAAGATTTAATTACACATTTTTGGACCATCTTATCTGACAGGCACTATTTTACTTCACCGAGTGTTAACATCCCTAACGTTTAACAGTACTCTTTATTGTCAGCCAACACTGGTATAAACATGGGCATTTCCGCTCCTTTTCTATTATGTACATCCACAGTTACTTGCGCAACACGTCCCTGACCACGAGTCCATTCATCCCACAGTGACTTGCGCACAAACAGCAAAACCAAGAGCGGCTTCATCGTATCTAATTCATTTACCCACCCAGCAGTATAACAAAAGCAGAAATTGGCCATTTCACAACTCTTCCTCCCCCGCTGCCCTTCCTGGCTCCTCCCCCCTTAACCACTATATAAGGTACAGATAGTTTGTTGTGACGGTTTCACCTGAAGACGGAAGCTTGTGTTGCCTCCGAAACGTCGTGATTTTTATTGTTTTATTTTTATTAATTTTACCCACGTGACTTTACCGAAAGAACTAAGAGTATAAAGATATTTAGGCTCGCTGGTCTCGTCATGAAACTGCAATGAAAAAGCACCAGGGGAGGCAGCCATCACATTTGCCTCACTGAGGGGGATGCGTCTAACACGCCCCCCTCCGTGAGGCCACGTCCCCCTCAGTGTGTGAATCTGGCTCTGACACAAGCCAGTGCCTCCCCAGCCATTGACCTCACCACACGTCACTGCAACCCACCCACCTATCTACTCACTCAACCACCCACCCAGTCGATCATCCACCCACTAACACTCACCCACCCAACAACTCACTAACCTACCCAGCACTCACTCACCGAGCCAGTCAATCTCTAACCCACCAACTCACTTTTAAACTGACTCTCAACTACAACTCACCCAGTCACTAACCCACTCACTCAATTTATAACCCACCCACTACCCACGTAACCTCCTACCCACACACTCACTCATCCACAAACCCACTCACCACCTCACTCATCCATCCACTCACATACTCACCCAGCCACTCACCTACTCACCCAGTCACATACACATCCACTCACCATGCCACCCACTCAATTTCTAACCCACCCACTCGCCCAACCACTCCCTCAGCAACTCACCCACTAACCACGTAATTATTCACCCACCCACCCATCACTCAACCACCCAATAATTCAACCACCAAAACATTCCACCACCCACTAACTCAACCACCCACTACCACCCACTAACTCAACCACCGAGCCACTCACACTCACCCACTCACCCACCCACCCACGCACTCACCTGCCCACTCACCAACACACTAAACTAAATCTAAATTGTGGTTATTTTACCAGGTAAGGCCGACAAAGCTAAACATATTTTTCAGAAATGACCTGGTTAAAAATTATAGGTCAACGAAGTGGCTTATGACATGTATTGCATCCAAATCCTATAAATGCTTGTTGATTTTAAATGTGGAGGGAAATATACAGGTGTCAGGGTCGGGATCAAACCCACAACCTTCTGCATACCAGGCGAGGTAGTTAACATCTCGCCACCAGTGGCTGCCCCACTGTCTGACTCTCCCACCCACTAACCCACACACTCACCCACTCATTCAATCACCCACTCACTCACTCAACTACTGAGCCTTTCATACACTGACCCACTCACTAAGCCACCCACTCAATCTCTAACTCACACTCATGCACCCAGCCACTCACTCACTCAGCGACTCACCTACGACGCATCACCCCAACCACTCACTCATCCACCCACGCACCCACTAACGCACGACCCACTCATCCACACAATGAACGAATATTTAATTGTTTTTCATTTTACTGGGTAAGGCCCTGAGCTATAGATCTTTGTTGGAAGCCACCTCAGCACAAATGACAGTTCAATTAAGTGGCTTTTCACGTAGAATGTTATTGCAACCAAATTATATAAATGCATGTTCAAATGTGGAGGGACAACCTGAAGAAAATTCCACACGACCACGGGGAGAACATAGAAACTCTAAATATCCAAGCGGAAGGGCTGGGATAAAATCCACAACCTCCTGTATACTAAACCATGCACCTATCCACTCACCTATTCATCCACCCACTCACACACCCATTAAGCAACCCACCCACTTACCCTGCCACCCACTCAATCTCTAACCGACTCACTCACCCAGCCACGCAATCTCGAACCCACCAATTCACTAATCCTCTCACCAACTCACCAACCCACCTCTCACCCACTCCCACACCCACCCACTCACTCACCTCAACCATTCACAAACCCACCCACTCACTCATTCACCCAACCACCCACCCACCACCCACTCAATCTCTAAACCCATTCACCCACCCACCCACTCAGCCACCCACTAACTCTCCCAATCAATCTCTAACCCACTCACCTACCCACCCACCCACTCACCCAGCCACTCACCCAGCCACTCGTCTATTCACTCCCAAACAACACACCCACTCACGTCACCCATGGCTTACCCTATCACCCACAATCTCTAACACACTCACAGACCCACCCAGTTAATCACCCACTCTATATGTAGTCCTTACCTCTTCTGGTAATGTGAGATATTCTTTTACCAGGTAAGGCCCACTGAGCTATAAAGATTATTTTCAGAAGCATCCTCGCCACAAATGATGGTTCAACAAAGTCGCTGTATACATTTATTGCACCCAATTCCTCTTATTACATGTTTTTAAATGTGGAGTGAAATATACAGGCGTCAGGGTCGGGATCGAACCCACAACATTCTGTATAGTAGGCGAGGTAGTTAACATCTTGCCACCGTGGCGCTCAATTCTTTGACTCACCCACTCAACTACTAAAGCCACCCACTAACCGACTCACAAACCCACTCACCCTGCCACGCACTCAATTTATAACCCACTCACTAAGCCACTCATCCACGCACCCACCTGCACATGCACTCACTAACTCACTCACCCAACCACCCACCCATTAACTCACCCACCCACTCCCTGACCAACTCACGCACCAACCCACCCACTCACACTGTGACCTACTCCATATCTAACCCAACAACTCACTCACCCAGCCCCTCACCTAAAAACCTAACCACCCACCAACTCACTCACCCACCTACGCACTCAAATACCAACTCACCCAACTGTAAACAAAATTTGTTTTACAAGGTAAGGCCCACAGAGCTATACAGATCTTATTCAGAAGCAACGTGGCCACAAAAAACCCAGAGGTCTCGGAGAAAAACCCATGAACCACGAGGAGAACATGCAAACTCCAAATATACAGGCATCAAGATCGAGACCGAACCCACAACCTCCTGTACAAAAGGTAAGGTAGTTAACATCTCGCCTCCATGGGGCTCCACTCTCTGACTCGCAGCCACCCACTCACCTACCCATTCAGCCACATACCCATTCAGCCACATAACCACTCAAAGACCCACATCAGCATAAAAATGGTCTTGTATTCACTCAGTAAATGAAGTTTAATATAAAATTGTACACTCACAGGATCGAAATAAAGATGACATTGCACATCGGAGTAAACCGAGTCGCGGCTATGATGAAATTTTGCATTAGCATAACATTGATTTATTAGCATACAAAATTACTTTTTGCAGAGCGATTTAATACAAAAGTCTGATAGACTACAAAATAAAAGTACATAGAAAACCAGGCATCAATATCGTTGCTTTGTATGATCTGTGAAACGCAGAAAATTTCAGATAAAATCGGACATTTTGAGCTTGCTGCTGTATCGACTGAGTGGAATCAATACAATTAGTATCGATTCACAATCAACAAAGACCATATATGGGAAAATCTCTGATCGGTGATTTTGATTGCATCGTATTGCAGCGCCCCTTTGATGATGTTATAAAGCACTTGCCCCAACAGTCTGTTAAAGGCTATACGGGGATCTTTGTGTGCGAGTAGCTCACAGATCCTTGAGAGATCTGAACACTGTCCTATCATCAGCGAGCTCCTCCGGCAGGCGAGGCTGCGTTGGCAGTTGTCTGTGCATTCAGAGGTGTTAACTATCCCACGCAGAGAAGTCTGTTTACAGGACATAAGAGGTTCTTCACGTACCGTGCCCCGTGTCACCTGAATGTTAAATGGGGCTCCGGTAATTCAGTGTCCACCGCCGAATCATCTTTCACCATCACCACGCGTCTATTAAGGCCAATGTGACGAGGCCATAGATAGACAACGCGTTAAAACGGGGTGGGGAGGGGGGAGC